TTGGATCCAAGCCGTGGGGGGAGGGTCGGAAGCATAGTCAGACTTCAGCCGGCTAAGAGGCCGGCGATTGGGCAGGAGGAGGTGGGAAGCCTCGCCCACCTCCTCCCGAGCGAACGCCGGGTTTTCAGCCGGCTGACAGGCCGGCGATCAGGCAGGAGGAGGTGGGAAGATTCCCCCACCTCCTCCCGCGTGAACGCCTGCTTGTTCAGCCGGCAAATGGTGCCTATGGGGAAAACATCGCAAAGCAATTTTCCCCCATAAAAACGATCGCAAAAAAGGCATCGTTATGTGGATTCCTCGTTATACGAGGCACTCGTTATACGAGGCACCACTGTATTTAGGTATCACAGCTAATGTGCACTGAATGCAGAATTCCTTACCTCTTTGATGGCAGACATCTTGATGTTCTCATAGTAATGTAGTGGTGCATTTGGAGAGTTCATGTCATAACCAAATCCAGCCACTGCTACCTCGTCACAATTGTGGAGCACCATGGTTATTGCTACACTTCCCAGAGTAGGAATGTTCTGTGGAGCAAAGGGGGAAGGGGAGGAAAAGTACAATATAAACTATTAAGTGGGAACATTTCATAGGAACATTTTAATTACACTTAGTATAAAGCCCGATTGGAACAGATTGCTAGGATGCCTCGTGAAATATGAGGAAGGATTTCTTGGTGATTGACAGGATGGAGAAGTAAAAAGAAAATGAGTCACCATTAAAAGGGAAGGGAGATGGAGACCTGGGAAGGAGAAGGAGAAATTACAGAAAAACTAAAAGACGAAATTGTCACTTAAAAAAGCAACTTATTTTGCCAGGATATGTGAAAGACTTTCATAATCCTTCCTGAGTGGGTAGCTCTAGTTGTGATCTATAGCTTTCTCTCCACGGCACTGTTGGTGTCCCCGAGATTTTTGGTCCTGGGTGACTTCAACATCCATGCGGAGACAGAGATTTCCAGTCCAGCTCTTGAGTTCTTGGAAACCATGGCTTCCTTGAACATGTCCCAACATGTCAACGGCCCCACCCACGTGGGTGGTTGTCGGAAGTTTTTAGTGGGAAGTTTTTAGTCTAAAGTTCCATCTTGTGGCTATTACTGGATACACCAGTGGTGCTTAGCATCATCAAGCATTGTTCTATGATTCTCTTTGTGCACATGTGTGGAATGTGTATACAAGATTGTTACTTGACACCTCTTTGGCCAAATTCTTATCTTATGCAATTTTTTGCTTGTTTTGCTTACTTAATAAAAATGTCTGGGGGAAGAAGAAGGCAGACATCTTCTTCACCGGTGATATGCTTCATAACGAAAGACTGCAGTCTGTCTTCATTTATCAGAGATCTCTCCCTGGTTTTCATGCAACTGCTGCTTGCGCTGGCTTCCCACAGGTGGTCATATGCTAGACCTGTTTTTTTCCTCCAAATGGAATGAGTGTGATCTGATGGTGACAGACCTTGTGTCTGTCCCCTTGTCATGGTCGGATCACCACCTAATAAAATGTAACATCTTAATGGCCCTCCCACCTTGCAGGGAGCAAGGATCTATTGCAATGGTCTGCCCTCAAAGGCTACTGGATCCTATAGGATTCCAGGATAGCATGAGAGGGATTCCAGCTGATCTGGCTGACGCTCTAGTCGAGGCTCTGGTGGATGGTTGGGTTATGGCCACCACTAGGGCTGTTGACATGATCCCTCCTAAGCGCCCTATCCAATGCAGAGCTCAGACAGCGTCCTGGTTTAACCAGAAACTACGAGTGATGAAGCAAACCAGGAGAAGGCTAGAGAGCAAATGGAGAAAGAAACCAACGGATTATAACAGAGAAGCTGTCAGGGTCGTGACTAACCATTATCTGGCCAAGATAAGGGCTGCTAGTCGAGCTCACCTCACTGACTGGATAAGTGAAGCTTCAAATCAGCAGGCAGAAATTTTCCATATAGTTCATGACCTATCTGGAATTGGTCGTGGTGAAGGGCCTCCTTCTAGTATCTTACCTGACCAATTTGCAGCATTTTAAAAATTTAAAGTGGAGGCCATCCACCGGGAGCTTTCTCCATTTTTGGTGACAATGGATCAAGCAGAGATGTCCAGCGCTCCACCTTGCCTAGAGAGCTTTGACCATTTTCAGCAAGATAAGGGCTGCTAGTCGAGCTCACCTCACTGACCAGATAAGCGAGGCTTCAAATCAGCAGGCAGAAATTTTCCATATAGTCCACAACCTATCCGGAATTGGTCGGGGTGAAGGGCCTCCTTCTAGCATCTCCCCTGACCAATTTGCAGCATTTTAAAAATCTTAAAGTGGAGGCCATCCGCTGGGAGCTTTCGCCTTTTTTTGGTGGCAGTGGATCGGGCAGAGATGTCCAGTGCTCTGCCTTGCCCGGTGAGCTTTGACCATTTTCAGCCTGTGACGCCAGACATTGTGGACAAGGCACTAGTTCACTGTCTGGCCACCACTTCCTCTCTTGACCCTTGCCCGGCCTGGCTAATCAAAGCAGCCAGGCCTATAACAACTGAATGGGCCATAGTGATAATTAATGAGTCTTTCTGGGAGGGCAGGGTTCCTCCTGCCCTCAAGAAGGCACTCATTAGGCCCATTAGAAAGAATCTCAATGTGGCGGCAGACGATATTGGCAATTACAGGCCCGTTGTCAATGTTTCTTTCATTAGCAAAGTGGTAGAGAGGGTGGTGGCCGATCAGCTTCAGGTGCACTTGGATGAAACAAACGACATGGAGCCATTCCAGTCAGGCTTCAGGCCGCGCCATGGTACAGAAACGGCATTGGTTGCCCTGTGTGATGACCTATTGAGGGAGGCTGACAGGGGAAAAACTTCTCTGTTGGTCCTCCTCAATATCTCAGCTGCCTTCGATACCGTTGACCACAGTATCCTCCTGAGGAGGATCTCCGAGATGGGAATTGGTAGCTCGGCGTTGGCCTGGCTGCGATCCTTCCTGGGAGATCGTCCTCAGAGATTTCAGCTTGGGGAGAGAGAGTCGGCCCCGTGGAGTCTCAACTGCAGGGCTCAGCTAGAAGAGTGAGGTTCGCAGCTTGGGGATCATCTGGACCAGGCGCTTACCATGGAATCCCAGGTAGCATCCGTGGTCCGATCCGCCTATTTCCATCTGTGGCGGATTGCCCAGCTGCATCCCTATCTAGATGGGGGGTCGCTCACCACTCTGGTCCATGCACTCGTAATCTCAAGGTTAGATCACTGCAATGCTTTCTACGTGGGGCTACCTTTGAGATTAATGCGGAAACTCCAAATGGTGCAGAATGCGGCGGCCAGACTCCTTAGTGGGGTGAAAAAACATCATCAGATCTTCCCCACCCTGGCTGCCTTACATTGGCTGCCCGTTTGGTTCCGCGTTGATTTCAAAGTTCTAATGCTTATGTATAAAGCCCTAAACTGTTTACGGCCTCGATATCTGATGGAATGCCTCTTCTCACCCAAATCTACTCATATCACTCGATCTAGCCAGGAGGTGAGACTGAGAAGCCTAATGCTGAGGGAGGCCCGGAAGGAAAAAACAAGAAACCGGGCCTTCTCAGCAGTGGCTCCTCGCCTTTGGAATAGCCTCCCTTCTGAGATTCGTATGGCCCCTTCGATGGGCATTTTCAAAGGCCAACTGAAAACCTGGCTATTTCGGCAAGCCTTCCCTCCAGCCACCTCTTGATTTATTTTGTTCTTTTATCTTGAGTCCTTGTCTATTGATGTATTGTTTTATATTTTAAATGGTTTATTTTATAACCAGAGTAGTCAGCTGACAAAATGGGCAGGGTATAAATTCAATAAATAAATAAATAAATAAATAAATAAATAAATAAATAAATAAATAAATAGTAGTGACTGTTGATAGAAATGCAGATCTTCAGATCAACAATTTGATTTAAAAAAAGCAAGATCTTTTTAAATCAACTGGTTTATTTTATAACCAGAGTAGTCAGCTTTTTAAATCAAGCAATTTGTTATCAATTAATAATTTTATGCACAGGTGGTTGACTTCCTATTGTTAATTATATGCTGTGGAAACTGTTATTTAATAGACGGTTTGGTATTAATTAATTATTTAACAATGAAAGGTTACTGTTCTGTGGAATATATTTCCGAAATCTGGGAAAACACATAATTCAAGCTCATCTGGTAACATTTGTATGTACCAGGACCAATTTCAGACCTTGACATTAGCACATACCAGAAGCACCATAATCTGCGTAGTACACTATACAGTGGTGCCTCGCTTAACGAGCGCACCGTAGAACGACAAAATCGTATAGCGATGAGGTATTTGCGATCGCAAATGTGATCGTATACTGATGGCCCCTATGGGCAAAATTCACTTTGCGATGATCGGTAAGCGTTTCGCTTACCGATCTTCGCAAAGCGATGCCCGCGGATCAGCTGTTCGGCGGCTCGAAAATGGCCACCGGAAGCCCCCAAATGGCCATACGCAGCGTTTTCACGTCTTGCCCTCGCTTACTGAGGGCACGAACATGGCTGCCGGACCCTGGAAACATCGCTGAACGGTGAGTTTCTTGCCCATTTGGGCAAAATGGGCTTCCCCATTCCGTACAGCGATGTTTTCACATAGCGAGGGTTAATCCAGAACGGATTAACCTCGCTATGCGAGGCACCACCTGTACAGTGGTGCTCCCCCGCTATGCGAGGCACCACTGTACAGTGGTGCTCCCCTTGACGATTACCTCGTTAGATGAGGAAATCGCTTAACAATGAGTATTTTGCAATCGCTATAGCGATCGCAAAACAATGTTTGCATGGGTTTTTTTCATTTAACGACGATAGGTTCCCTGCTTCGGGAACTGATTTTTCGCTTAACGACAATCAAAACAGCTGATCATCGGGTTTTCAAAATGGCCACCCACTGTGCAAAATGGATCCTCACTGCGTTTTAGGACTGCCTAGCTGCCTAAATCTGTGGGTCTCCTTTTCCTCTAATCCAGAGGCTGATGAGGCAATGCAGATGATACAAACCTTTTCATCCTTGCTCACACTTGAATCTGGAGTCATTCAATGAATCCGCATGGCAGACATTCAGAATAAACAACAAGTATTTCTTTGCAATGTGAATAGTGGAATTTAACACAAGCTGAAGTGAAAGCTATGAATTTGAGTAGATTCAAAAGGGGATTAGACAAATTCACAGAGCAGAGTGCTATCAATAGCTATTAGCCATTAGTACATCAACTCCTGGAAACTTGAGAAGGAGGATGTTGCTGCACTCATGCCCGTTTCTCATAGGCAAATATTTGGCTGTTGTGGAAGCAGAATGATGAACTAGGTGAATCTGTGTTCTGACTTAGAAGGGTTCTTCTTATGCATTCTATAATCCCCATTTGATTTTATGGCATTGATAGCCCACAAATACTCAGACAAAGAGTTCATAAAGTCCAAAAAGTGATGGATCTTAGAAATCTTCCAAAGGTCTGTAAATTACCAGTAAGTGGGCTGCAGCTAGCTTTTAAGATTTACATTATTCGGGTCTGACCTACGAAAAATCTTGAACCAACATTA